CCTCTTGGGGGCCTCTTGGAGCCTCTTGGGGCCTCTTGGGGGCCTCTTGGGGGCCTCTTGGGGGCCTCTTGGGGGCCTCTTGGGGCCTCTTGGGGGCCTCTTGGGGGCCTCTTGGGGGCCTCTTGGGGCCTTCTTGGGGGCCTCTTGGGGCCTCTTGGGGGCCTCTGGGGGGCCTCTTGGAGGCCTCTTGGGAGCCTCCTGGGGGCCTCTTGGGGCCATCTTGGGGCCTCTTGCGACCTCCTCAGAAGCGCAAATGAGGGCTGCCCCCTGAGAACGACGAAATGAGCCCAAAACCTTTGTAAACTCAATGATTTTGCTATGAAGGAAGATGAGCGCGGCCCCCTCAGGAGGCCAAAATGGGGCCAAAACCGTAGTAAAATCAAGGATTTTGGCTTCAAAGGCGAGCAGATGGGGCCAAACTCCTTCCCCCCGTCGGGGCCAGAATCCTCGTGAGGGTCGTCGTTTTTTGGCCCTCCCAGGAGTCGAACAAAAAAACCCGGACTACGCTCGGCCCGCCCTCCCCAGGTCCAGGGGGAGGGGGTAGGGGGAGGGGTAAACCCCTCTCCGAAGGGGAAGAAGGGGGGTTGAGGACAGAGCGGGCTCTCTAAACCACTCACGCCCGAAGGGCTGGTGGGATTCTCCTCTGAAACTTTGGGTTTTTGTTTTTTTTTGGGGCAGTTACAAGGATGAGTTTGTTTTTGTTGTTTTTCATGTTTTTCTTTCTTGCAAGCTTCTTTTAGAGTGAGTGGCCCCGTCTAGACTTATCTGATGCCGAATACATTCCGCCTGCCCCCAAGCCCAGGTTTTCCTGGGACAAGCCTGGGCACGACTGGGCCCCCTGGTCTGGTGTGTGGCGTTGTCGTGTTTGTTTGCTGGGTTCCAGGGCGTCTGGTGTCCCTGATCCTGGTATATGCACGGGCAGGTGCAAGCTTGATGAAGGTGTGCTTGTTTCACTGCGACATCGTGTTTTGGCTTTCTCCTGCAGTGACGGTTCGCACCTTTTTGTTTGCGTGAAATGCCGCTACCACGGCACAGGTGCACGTGTGGACGGCCTCGGGAAGTTTTGTAACGATCGGCCCTCCAGGCATGCTGAGTATTCTTGGAGGGACCTCTGCCGAGGAATACATCCGAACCCCAGGAAGCGGGATGTGACGGTGAACGCTCACCAGATCTGTGCTCTGTGTGGTTCTCAGGCCGAGGAGCCTTCCTCGGGCAGCAGGGCCGTGGTGGCCCCAGCTGGGAACCATTCGGTGGAGGAGGAGGCGGTCCCTGCTTCCTCGGTCGAGCCTCCCCCCCCCTCGGAGGAGGAGGTCCGTCAGGCCCGTCAGGCCCGAGAGCTCAGCGTCGTTTCTTAGTCCCTCCGCCTTCTTGAAGCCGCTCGGTGCGGCAGTGAGGGAAGGAGGGACCTGGATGCTGAGTCGGGTTCTTCTGACTAATATTATCCTGCCACCTTCGTGGCTTTACCTCCTTGCCTCAGTGGCTTGGTGGATGCAGCAGCGATTTCCCAGCCGTCGCTGCTGACAGTGAGAGGCTGTGCGGGCGTTGAGCTCAAAAAAGGTCCTTTCAGGCGAGAGCCTTGTTTTGAGTTTTGTTTTGGGACTTCTCAGGCGGGAGCCTCGTTTTGAGCGTGCTTTGCACGCGCTACGTGTGTTTCCTCCGGGTCGTGCAAGTCCTTCGGGCTGCACGTATCCACTGGGACTCACTCTGTGTGATTCCTCTGGGTCGTGCACTGTCATTCGGGCTGCACGTATCCACTGGGACGCACTAGGTGTGATTCCTTTGGGTCGTGCACGTCCTTCGGGCATCATCCCCGGTTATGAGAGGCTGACCAGGTAAGTGTTTTCAAGCTGGTTCGAGCGTGAACGGGGGGTGGGGTCAGTGGTGAACGTTCCCTCCGATTCATCGTTTCAGGGGGATCAATTCCGATCTGACCCCCCGTCATTTCTCCCAAGTGGGGGGTCTGCTTGCGCGCGATTTGCCAGTTGTCGCCTATCCGAGTAGAGTATCATTACTGCCACAGTACTCCAACCGTACTGTTTCACAAGTGCTGGACTACGGCTGTGACTACTACAGTACTGCATTGCGACAACACTAGCCGTGCTACTACAGTCCTAGAGCCCTACCCTTCTAGAGCACTATTGCATTACTTCTACAGCCGTCACTACAGTATTACCATAACAACTACTACTACTACTACTACTACTACTACTACTACTACTACTACTCCTGCTGCTGCTGCTGCTACTACTACTACTACTGCTACTACTACTACTACTACTACTACTACTACTACTACTACTACTACTACTACTACTACTATTGTACTGAAGGGTTGTAGTACGACTACAGCGCTACCATAATGCTACAACGACGACAGTACTCGAGTGCTACTGACTTAGGTTTTACTACTGTAGCGCTACAGTATCAGCTCAGGCTCCTGGGCCTAAGCCTGCGGCGCCGCCTTGAGTCTGCGGAACCCCCTTTGCAATAGGCGCCGCCACCTCGTGCGGCGCCTGCGTCTTGCTGCCGCGGCGCCCGCCGCGAGGTGCGCCCCTGGCCGAGCCCCTCCCCGTCCGCGACGCCGACTTGGCGATCGTCGCGTTCGCGACGAGTCCAGCGCGTCCTGGTGCAAGCAGGCAGGCAAAATGCTGAAGGTACAGTGGGGGCCCATGCCAAGACACCCTGCCTGCCTCCAGGGTGCCCCGGGCTTCCTGGGTTCGGATGGCTCTGCTGGGGAGAGCGCGCCGTTCCCAGGCCAAAAATGGATGGACGTCCTGGGGTCTCAGGGTTGGGTTTCTCGTGGGCCCTGACTGTACACCCTAGGCGATGCTTAAGAAAACTTAAGTTTTCGGCCAGTGTCTCGACTATTCTTAATGTTTCAATGTAAATCCCAAGATTTAAATAAACATTCTGGGTTTTTATGTAAATTCTGAGACTATGAATTTCTGAACCCATGATTTCTAAAGCATTTCGCAGGGTGTACTGTACGAAGCGCACATGAGCACACAGCCACTATCACGTGGTAGCGCAGTGCTTACTGAGTGCGACCCGCCACGCCGCGGCCGAAGAGAGCGTGTCCTGCCACAGCGCCGGACGGGCCTCTATGCCCCCAGCTGCTTCCAGGGACCACGCTGCTCGTGGGACAGTGCGCGTCGTGGTGGACGGCTTGAATCGGTGCACCTGTCGGGAGCAGCTGGAGCAGCGACAGTCAATCGGCAACAGCTTGTCAGTATGCTCGCATGCCTGGCAGATCCTGCACTTGGACCCGGCTCTCACTGGCTAGCCCATGGGGGCACGACAAGACGAATCAGGCAAAGACGGACGATCCCCAGCTTCCGATAACACGAATTGATCGTGGGTTTCAGCAAAGTCGTGAAAACACTCGAGCACCCCGCTGAGGGACTGGGAATGCCCCATCAAATTGTTTGGGCCGAAGTGCCCTGAGGAGGTGTGGGAGGAGAGGGAGGAGGGAGAACGGGGGAGACAGCAGAAAGGTGGGAGGAGGGATGGGGAATGAGAAGAGGAAGAAATGAGTAGGGCTGAAGGGTGGAGGAGAGGCAGAGAGGAGGATGAGGACGAGGAGGATGGAGGAGGGAAAATTCGGAGGGGGGATCCTGGGTAACCGATGGGTTCAGCTGTACAATCTGTTCAGGTGTTTCTGGCGGTGAACAGTTTGAGTCTCAAGCCTCGTGCTCCTCCTCCTCCTCCTCGCCCTCCTCGAAGCTCGAAGCTCCGAGCTACGGACTGCCCTCCTCCTCCTCCTCCTCCTCCTCCTCTTCGTGCTGTTGCTGCTGCTGCTGCTGCTGCTCCTCCTCCTCCTCCTCCTCCTCCTCAATGTTGGAAAGGCGCCTCCCTTCCCCCGTGCAGCTGTTACATTGGCTCCAGTTGCCGCCCTGGAAGTCCCAAGCGAAGAGGTCTGCTCTGGACACGGATCCGCCCACCATCCCTTCACGTGCTGCAGACGGCTGTGGGCAGCGGTGGAGCGCGAGCTTCACTTCGAAACGAATCGCAAGCGAACGCTCCGATTTGGAAACGATGCGCCCTCCATCTCTGAAGCAGTTGCACGCTTCAAACTTCAGGTTTATGAGCGCTGAAAGAGTCCCAGGCGACACGCCCGGCCTGCCCTACCGACACGTCTGGGCTTGCGACATGGAGAAACTACTTGTGTGGAGCAGGGATGAAGGAGGAGGAGGAGGACGAGGAGGAGGAGGAGGAGGAGGATCAGGATCAGGATGAGGGCGGAGGAGAGGATGACGGAGTGGGGAGGGTGGTGGAGGGGAATGAGAGGAGGAGGAGGGGGAGGAGGAGGAGGAGGAGGAGGAGGGAGTAGGAGAGGAGTAGGGAGGCAAGGTGGAGGAGGTGAAGGGGATGAGGAGGAGGACAGGGGGGGGGGAGGGGGGGAGATGGAGGGTGGGAGAGAGGATGAAGAGGAGGAGGAGGAGAGGAGGAGTAGGGAGGAGTGAGGATGAGGGGGAGGAGGAGGATGAGGAGAGGAGGAGGGCTCCAGTACACCCGACGAGGAGCTCGGGCGCTCCTCGCGTGGCCTCCGGGGCTTGGAGGGGGCCTTCGAGAGCCCAGGGGGGGGGAGGAGATGGAACGCACCACGGCCTCATCTGGAGGGGGCATTGGGCCCAGCGAGGACGGGGGGGAGGGGGGGGGGGGGGGGGGGGGGGGCCAGGGGGGAGAGTGACGGGAGAGGGAGGAGGACGAGTGACGAGGACGAGGACAGAGTAGGAGGTAGAGGGAGGAGGAGGAGAGGGGAAGGAGGAGGAGTGAGGAGAGGAGGAGGAGGAGGAGGAGGAGGAGGAGGAGGAGGAGGAGGAGGGGAGGAGGGGAGAGGGAGCGGAGGTGGAGGATGTGAGGCATGGAAAGGGGGACGAGAGGATGAGGAGGGGCACATGACAGTGGGGGGTGGGACGGGGGTAGGAAGGGGCGAGGAGGCGCGTGGAGGGGAAGAGGGCGGTGGGCTCCCTCGCCGCCGCGGCGCCCCGCCGGCCCAGGAGCAGGAGCGGAAGCAGGCCGGCGCCGAGGACGACCCGAGCCAGAGGGTGCGCCCCGCCGCGGCCCCCGCCCACCGCGGCGGCGGAGCGGCAGCGGCGACCGAGGCGCCGACGGCGGCGGCGGCGGCGGCGGCGATGGCGCCGACAGTTCGGGCGGCGACCGCGACGGCGGAGGCGGAGGCGGGAGGAGGAGGAGGAGGAGGAGGAGGAGGAGGAGGAGCAGGAGGATGAGGGGAGGAGGAGGAGAGGAGGAGGGAGGGCAGGAGGCGAAAGGAGGTAGAGGTGGACGTGGAGGTGGAGCGAGGGATGACGGAGCTGTCGGTGGAGCAGGAGGAGGGGACTCGGGTGGAGTCGGAGGAGGAAGGGCCACAGGAGGAGGAGGGGAACGGGGGGAGGGGGGCGGGCTGGGGGGTTCGCGCGGACTGGGGCCTGCTCTGATGCCCCTGCTGTGTGCTTTCCTGATTGCCATGATATGGTTGATCATGTAGCTTTAGGTTTCGATGCCTTTTGAAGACGCAGTACATGTCGGTCGTTTGAAAGTCGATATTTCTTGATATCCAGATCCTAATCTATTTTCAGCCGCCTTCCTACTTCAAGAGTCGAGTGGTTTTCCCTCTTCCCTCCTCTCAAGGGGGCGGGCGGAAGCCCAATCTACTTCCAGCGCCTTCCTACCTCATGCTTCCACCCACTTCTTACGACCGACGGGCAGCTTCAGGTTCCGACGCCCCCTGGGGTGAGAGACAGTACGCTGGCATAGTGTTGCAAGGCAGGCATTACTTTGGCCCGGATCTCTGCGCTGATGGGGCTGTTTTCCACCACCACCACCATAAGTTGGAGGGGGAGGGGGTCCTCCACCTCCTCCTCCTCCTCCTCCTCCTCCTCTTGAGTGCCTCCTCGTGTCCTCGGATGCGGTCAAAGGGGGCGAAGTGGAAGACAATCGATTACGACCAGTAACCTACGGAGGCCTGCTGTTCCCTGACTACAGCTGCCTGGACCTGTGCGAGTATTTGAACGGAGAAGAGGCATCAGGCGATGTGGTGCCTCTTTCTGCTGGGCAACTTGCAGGGCAACGCGCTGATTCACCTGGCCCTGGCGTACCACATGAGCCCGTTCTTGTTCATGATTGGGAGTTGCTCGGTAGGAGTTCTACCTGCACAGCGCTTAGCAAGCTTAAGGTGGCTGGTGACAAGCAGCCGATTCAATCGTTCGGGGTTAGCACGGAGTTCGCGGTGGTTTGCTACAGCAGCAATTCCTGGGCCACGGCTCAGAGTTTCATGGAGTGGTGCGTGCTGGACCAGTTGTTACAGGCGGACATTTTCGTGCTGCAGGAGCTCCGCCTCGCAGCAGGTGAGCAGATCCGACGCGGTCAAGCTTGGGCTCGAGCTCGAGGCTATCGGCTTGAGGCGTCACCGTGTGCGATCACTGGCAGTTCGGCCTTGTCGACGTCCTGTGGGGTACGCCTGTGCACGCGTGCTCACATTCCTGTTGCAGAGTATTTGCCAGCATGTGCACACCCCAGGGGCAGGCTTAAGTTTCAGCGCGCAGTTTTAGGCGATATGCAGATTCTCTTCGTTTCGGTTTACGGGGGGGTGGGGGTGGGCCTTAAGTGCAACGTGGAGCTCTTGGGGGCTCTCATTGAGGCCGTGCGGGCATCGTGCCTGCCCTTTCTGCATTGCTGGCGACTGGAACATCGAAGCTGAGCTTTTTGGGACCGACAGTTTTCTTCGGCATGGGTTCTTAAACGCGTTGCACGCGGAGGTTGTGCGCGCAGAACAGCCCACGTGCAACGACAGCTGCATAGACTTTTTCGTGATGGGTGATGCGCTAGTGCCCTTCGTCCGTAGCATATGCCTTCGGCATGACACTCCCGTGGGGCCCCACAAAGCGGTCGTCCTCAGGATGTCGGGGGTAGGAAGCCACAATTTCATTTACATACGGATCCAGCCCGAGGCGTTCAGGCTCCCAAATATGAGGGAGGCCTTCGTTCCAGGGGACATCTCGGGCTGGCCAGGTTTCGAAATTTTTGCAGGGGAGTCAGTGGGCATTCTTGCGCGCAGATGGTTTTCTTCCGCTGAGCTGTATCTGTGCATGTACATGGGGCTGCCCGAGTTTGACAGGCCCCGTTATTCAGGTCGTGCTGCTGGTTGCCGTCTGGAATAAGTGCCCTTGTCTTGCGCCTGGGGAAAAAGTGTCCGAAGAAAGGCCAGCGCGTTAACTCAGAAGTGGTTAACGCTTCGCAGAGTGACAATGCAGTGGCTTCGCGCGCAAGACTCCACGGCCCCAGATAGGGATGCTGCGATCAGCAGCGCTGTTGCACGTATGGAGGAGGTCGGTAGCGTTTGGGCGGGTTCGGGGGAGGAGGAGGCTGAGTCGACTCAGGAGGCTGTGTCACCAAGCTCGCATGCCGCCTTCCTTGCTCGTCTTGGGGATCCTGACTCTCGTGTTGAGGTGTGCGTCTTGCTTCAGCGTCGTGTGCAGCAGCAAACGAGCAAGGATGCGTCGGCGGCTCGACAGTCTTGGGAGGAATTTTCAGAGCTCGCGTTCCAGAGAGGAGGGAGTCTTGCGCATAAGTGTTCTCGGGGCCCTCAGGGAAATTCCCAACCAGTGCTTGCTGACTCGGTGCCTGTCGTGGGGCATGAGGCCTTGAAGGCCATGCTGGGGACTTGGGTCTCGCTTTGGAAGCTTCCGTCCAGGGGCCTGGAGCCCCGCCCCCTCTCCTGGGATGTTTCAGGCGCGGCCCCCTTCCCGAGCTAGAGCCAGCAGCGGTGCGAGCAGCCCTAGGGTCGTTTAGGCCCGACACCGGTCTAGGCTGGGATTCCTTTCACCCGAGGTGGATTGAAAAGTTGCCTGAGCCTCTCATAGAGGCTTTGATCTTGATTTTGTATCGGTGGGAAGCTGAGCCAGGGCTCACCGACATATGGCTCATTCCCACCGTCTTTCTCCCCAAACCGCAAGGGAGGGGGCGACCCATAGGCCTGCTGCCCTTGTTTGCTAGAATTTGATCCAGATTGATACACAAGCAGGTCTCCAAGTGGGAATCCAAACTGCCCGATAGTTTTTTTTTTCTTTTTTCTTTTCTTCTTATTCTTTCTTTCTGGGGGGCCTCTAGTGAGACCTCATGTGACAAGCCCGCCGGGATGCACAACGCCCTTGCGGCTGTGGCCCCCCAGTTAGGCTTTGTAAGTTTCAGCGCGTTTGTGGACCTCCGCAAGTTTTATGAAATGGTCAGCCACCAGGAACTTGTGTGCTGCCAGGGATATAGATTTTTCCCCTCCTAGTACTTCTGAGGCCCTTGTGCGCCTTGTACAGAGGCCCGAGGAGGGCCGTGTACCAGCAATCTGTTTCAGAGGTCATTAACGCGAACGGGTCCATAATAGCAGGCTGCTCATGCGCTACAGGGTTGGCTAAGTTGATGGCGATCACCGCGCTCAGGAGCATAGGGGCTAAGTGTAACCTTATCAGCATCAAGAACCTGATCGATGATGCCAGCTTACATGGGATAGGTGGGCCCACTCAGGTTGCAGATCAGGCGATTACTGGTCTAACGTTGCTGTTAAGAGGCATGGGGGACCGCAGGCCCCCGATTTCGTGGGGCAAGCGCGGTCTGTTGTGCAGTGATGGTGAAGTTTTCCGCAACGTAAGAGCGCATGTGCGAGATCTTTGGCCAGGGGATGTTCCTTGCCCTGGACGCGATGCCTTCGTAGAGATCTAGGGGGAGATGCCATTGACGGAAGGATGAGGAGGATCAGCACTCAGGTTTCGAGGATCTCAGAGGCTCTGCAGCGAGGGGTGCGTGTCAAAGCTCTCCAGGGACTGGGTCGTCAAAAATCAGCTGTGCATCGAGCAGGGGCCCTGGCAAAATCTCCATGGGGCTCCAGTGTCCACGGTGTGGCAAGTTCGAGGATCCAGTCCCTTCGCATGTCGTACTTGAACGTTGGCAAGTACACGCCAGGTGCATCTGTGGGTCTGTCTCTGCTGACGGCAAGGTGCGGCTGGCAACAGGACTCCTTGGTCATTGCGACGGTGGGCGCGGCCCACACCTTTGCTGTCGTCATGAATTCACGGGCCGCCACATGGGCGGTCGTGGACAGGTTGCTCAAAGAAGCGAGGCTGCTGCTACTGGATCCACAACGCTGGGCCGTGTGCAAAAACCCATTTGCAGCGCTTCTCCTCTCGCTCCACAGGATTGGGTGGTCTTGGGAGGACGTCCACACCATCGGAGATGACGACGAGCAGCTTTGGGACGTCAGGACCACTCCGCCAGCCCTACTGAGCTCGATGGCCAAGCATGGGATTCGGAGGCATATTGATAGGGAAGCTCTCCACAGGCTCGCAGATGGTGACTCGCGGGTCCCTCAAGGCCCTCTACCGTGGATACCCACGAACGAGGTCTTACATTCAAAGCGCAGTAAGTTACCGCCAAGGGAATGGAGGTCTCTCAGGGGCCTGTGCTCGGGGGCTCACTGGTGCCAGTGCAGGGTCTCGAAGTCCTTTAACGAGGAGCCCTCGGTATGCATGAGGTGCCAAGGTTGCCCAGGCACGTTCTATCATAGGTTCTTTGAGTGCGACGCGTGCCACTTCTTCAGGCAGGAGAGCCCCCCCCCCCCCCCGAAGGAGCTCCACAGTGCAGTCAAGCGTGTGAGGCAGGAAAAAATTGCCCCTGAGGGCCCTACAACTCTCTTTTCTTTCTGCCGGTGGCCTTCTCCCGTGACGCCTGCTCAAGCTTTTTTTTGCCTTATTCGAGCTGGGGCCCAGCACGCCACTTTTATGACATGGAATCGTAACGCCTGAGTTTTGTTTCATGTTGAAGGAAGGCTTTGTTTTCACTGGACCGGGAGTGGTTTTCTACGCGGACATACCGGTGCATGAGAAGCGCATGGATGGTCAGTTGTAGTGTGCGACCATGGGCGCTGGAGGGTGGCCAGATACTACGGTGCAGTGCCAGAAGATTTGCGCCCCCTGCAAGTGGCAAAGTGTTGTGGGTGGGTGGGGGGGGGGGGGGGGGGGGGGGGGGGGGGGGGAGGGGGGGGGGGGGGGGGGGGGGGGGG